CACCATGCAATTAACTTTCTATTCTACTATGATACCAGTTACACATTCTTTGGTTTGAACAATCCGAGAAATACAACCCAAAAAATTCTAAAGGGGGAAAATTTAAAAACACCACCCAGAGATAATTATTAACAATATTCTGGCATCAGCATTTGCAAGTGTTTATGCTTATGTGTATGTTGATGCAAAAAGGAGATTGAATTATACATATTGAATTGTAATCTGCTTTTTCCGTTGAAAAATTGTGAACATCTTTCCGTATCAAAAAAGTTACACCATTATTGTCATATAGTCAATACTTTTTAAACATGCCTCTCATAGCTCGCTGTTCATTTCCTTCGAGGCACAAATTTTAAAAATCCTCATTCTCTTATTGACTTTTGTATGTTTATTGTCTGTCTTACTCCCAAAAATACAGGCTCCATGACGATGTAGATTTTGTCTGTTTTTTAATATTATATCCCTGGCATTGAGCACACTGCCTGACACACAGAGGAGCTATGTAAGTTTTCTCTCGCTACATAACAAGTTACCACAAACTTAGTGACTTATAAAAACGCCCACTTGTGTTGAAGTTCTGTAGTTCAGAAGACCAATTGAGCTCCACTGGGTTCTCTCCTTAGAGTCTCATAAGGCCCAAAGTCAAAGTCTTGGCCAGGCTGGACTTTAACCTGGAAGCACTGGGGCAGCACTCACCTCAAGCTCATTCTCATTGTTGGAAGAATTCAGTTCCTTGTGGTTGAAGGACTGAGGTCCCTGTTTCCTTGCTGGCTGTCAGCTGGGGGCTCCTCTTGGATCCTAGAGGACATTCTCAGGTCCTCGTCCCATGGCTCCCTCCATCTCAGCACAGCAAATCCTTCTTGTTTTAAATTTCCCTGACTTCTTCTTCTGCTACAATCTAGAGAAAAGTCTCTGCTATCAAACAGCTCCTCTGGTTAAATTAGGCCCACTCAGATCATCTCTCTTTTGACTAACTTAAAATCAACTGATTAGTAACCTTAATTACATCTGTAAGGTAGCTTAATCATGGTGTGAGATGTTCACAGCCCCAGTGCCAGGGATTAGAGCTGGAATCTTTGGAGGGGGCAGTGACCGTAGGATTCTGCCTGCTCTAGGCGCCCTCTCCTACCTATGGAATGAATGATTGAATGTACTTGTTCCATGAACGGTGCAAGGCACAGGGGATCTTAAGTGAGCAGGACTGGCCTGCCCCTGCCTTCATAGAACTTATAGCCTAGACCAGGGCTATTCAATAGAAATATATACAAGCCACATCTGTAGTTTTGAGTTTTCTAGTAGACACATTAAGAAGAGTAATAAGAAATAGGTGAAATTAATAGTAATAATATATTTAATTTGACCCAATATATCCAAAATATCATTTTAACATGAAATCCATATGAAAAAGCTAAATTCATATTAAATCTTCAAAATCCAGTGTGTATTTTACGCTTGTAGCGTGTCTCAATTTGGACTAGCCATATTTCAAGTGCTGAGTAGCCACATGTGACCAGTGGCTACCATATTGGATAGTAAAAGTCTAGACAAGTCACCAGAAGGGAACAGTGCAGTTTATGTGTGGGACTTCCTGTGCTGCATCCCACACTCAGGCAGGTCAGGAAAGGCTTCCAGAGAAGAAGTGGCATCTAAACTGAGACTGAAGAATAAGTAGGAATCCATCAGGTCAAGGGTTGGCGTAAATGCATGTCAGACAGTACTTCAAGTTAGTGAGATGAGGAGAGGAGGAAGCTTTAGGACTGCAGAAGCCACTTCAGCATAGGTGGAACATGAAGCGTGGAGCTGGAGAGAGAGAGGCCAGAGGGACCCTCCCCAGCATGGCCAGAAGTCCATCCTCCATCCTGAGGGCAATGGGATTGTAAAGGAAGGTTGTAAAGGGGGAATGCAAGGTGAAGTAGGTGTTGTTATTGAAAAAGCACTGTTGGCTGCACAGGTGAGAAGGCAGCGTTGTGTGCCGTGCCAGAGCATGCATGGGGACAGGTTGGGCCCACGGTGACCATCCAGGTGAGGGAGAAATGTCCAGAGATTATCTCACAGTGAGTGGCTGCCCAGATTGCCTTATTGCTGGAAGCCAGGATTCCTTTAAAAGACAATTTTTTTAAAATGTATACTTATTTGCCCCTTAACAAGGGATCATCTGCATTTCTAACTGCTGGCAATGTCATTTGAGTTTTTTTCGTCTCAAATCTGCTTAGGCTTTCTGGTGAATGGATTGTCTGATTGAAGAAGTGGCAACACTGTTTGAGAGTTCTCTTTTCCACAGCGTAAAACTTACCCAGAAGCAGTGCACGGCACTTGTAAGGCAGTGTATTCTGCCCGGTGACCGGTTACCCAGCTGGAAATCTTTCTCTCAACTGAATAAATGATTGTTCTTTGCTACTTTATCTTGGAAAAACATCAAGGACATCGGACATTCATTGTAATTATTTTTCACTTGTTTCTCCATCTGTAAAATATGACCGGTGCATTTTAGTACTACTTTGGGTTTCTCTTTACCTTTTAATCATGTGGCCTTTTAATATATTGGTCAGCCCTTTAAAAGGATGATTAAGAAATGCTTAATGCACAAAAGAATTAGAGCTATGCACAGCTCATGAAGCAGAAAGCGTGCTCTGACTTACAATTTTCATACAAAGTTTGCAGATTTTATGTGCCAGAATGAGTAATATGATCCGCTCTAGGAACTCCCTAGTTTTCTGGCTCTGCAAAAGTCATTTTTTTGCCCCGATTCAAGTTTCTTAACCAGAAGGGTTACACCAAACTCCTCAGAGTATGAATTAACAGAGTTCATCCAAGCCACATATTTCATTGGCGCTGGTTAACGATGGCTTGAAATAACTGCCTACCTGTGCAGACACTGGACTTTGGCACACTCATTAGTCAGTGTGATTTGAGAAATGCTGTGTATCAGTGGCCAAATCAGACAGCTCAATCTGTATGTAAAAAGCAGCGCACACGTGTGTGAGTGTGTGTGTTTGATCTTTCCCCTCCCTGCCATATTCCCCAGATAGCTGCACTATTGCCATGTGCCCGGAAACTCCTGAAGTAGTCAAAGGCCATATGTGAATGATAATGACGCAGGCACACAAAGCTGAGCATCAGCAGGGAAGAAAGTCATCATCTGGAGGGTCGATGTGGGATGCTGCTCTCTTCTTACCCGTTTTACTGGTTCTTCCGAGGCTGCAGTTGTATTCCATACCCAGGGCCCCTCACTGGGATGGTGAGAAAACTTGGGTTGCTCCCGAGTACCTGTTCCCCAGGGCATGAAATATGCAGATGCGTTTATTCTGCTGTATTTATGTTTAGGATTAAACATACCCAGACACCACTGGATTTGGGGATGAAAGCCAACTTTGTTTCATTCTGCTCTTTTTAGGGAGATACCAATATAATTTTTTAAAATATATTTTTATCGTGGTAAAATGCACATAAAAAATTACCATTTTAACCAATTTAAGGGTAAATTCAGCGGCATTAGGTACATACACAGAGTTGTACAACCAACACTACTATCCATTTCCAGAACTTTTTCATCACCCCACCCAGAAGTTCTGTACCCATTAAGCAGTAACTCCCAAATCCACCCTCCCCTCCAGCGCCTGGTAACCTCTAATCTATTTTCTGCATCTAGAAGTTTGTCTATTCTAGATATTTCATGTAAGTGGAATCAATCATACAGTCTTTATCCTTTGGTGTCTGGCTTATTTCATTTAGCATGGTATCTTCAAAGTTCATCCATGTTGTAGAGTATATCAGAACATCATTTCTTTTCAGGGCTGAATAATATTCTATTGTATGTATATACACATTTTGTGTATCCATTCATCTGTTGATGGACACTCAGGAGTTGTTGTTCCCTTTTGACTATTATGAATAACACTGCTATGAACTTTTGTGTACAAGTATCTGTTTGAGTCCCTGTTTTCCATTCTTCTGGGTGTATCCCTAAGAGTGGAATTGCTGAGTCCAGTATTCTTTTAATTTTTTTGAGGAAGATTAGCCCTGAGCTAACTACTGCCAGTCCTCTTCTTTTTGCTGAGGAAGCCTGGCCCTGAGCTAACATCCATGCCCATCTTCCTCTACTTTATATGTGGGACGCCTGCCACAGCATGGCGTGCCAAGTGGTGCCACGTCCGCACCCGGGATCCGAACCGGCGAACCCTGGGCCGCTGAGAAGTGGAATGTGCGAACTTAACCACTGCGCCACCAGGCCAGCCCCCAGTATACTTCTAAATTGTTGCTCTTACATGGCTTTAAGTGGACATTAAGTTTTCTGGTGTCTTGACCATCTTTAACTCTCTAATCTCTGTAAAGTCATGTTAAAAATAATTTAAAAACCATACTCATTGTAGAAAAGTGTGGAGAGAAACAAATTGACACATAACCTGATCACATAGAAATAATCACTGAGGGGCTGGCCCGGTGGTGCAGTGGTTAAGTTCACACGTTCCGCTTCTCGGCGGCCTGGGGTTCGCCGGTTCAGATCCTTGGTGTGGACATGGCACCGCTTGGCAAGCCATGCTGTGGCAGGCGTCCCACATATAAAGTGGAGGAAGATGGGCACGGATGTTAGCTCAGGGCCAGTCTTCCTCGGCAAAAAGAGGAGGATTGGCAGTAGTTAGCTCAGGGCTAATCTTCCTCAAAAAAAAAAAATTTAAAAAAGAAAGAAAGAATCACCGAAACATTTTGGCATATTTCCTTTCAATGTCTTTTTGCCGTCAAGAGGCATCTATGCCTATATGTGACAGATTTGAAAGGGGCCTCTTTTCAGATGTGTTTGCAGGACGTAACGAACGTTCCATTCACATTATCCTTCCTTTATGCTTCCTCCCATTGCCTCCTCCCCAATCCCAGCCAACCCCAACCAAAGAGAGTGGTGAGGGGTGGGTGCAGGGGTGGGGCATGGGGAGCGTCTGCCAGGATTCTCTCCGACACCATTGCCAGTTCCTTTCCCTGCTAAACGATGTGCTTTCTTGTTGCAGCTATCAGAAGGGCTGAGTAAAGGGAAAACACAGCTCTGCAGCAATATTCTGATGATCTACTGCGGTGTGGCTCACATCACTGTCCGTCACCACCTGGAACGCCCATCAGGACTGAAAGAGGGGTTTTCACTTCCATTACTGAGCACAATTCTGTTCAACTGGATATTTCCTTCATCATCTCATGTCCTTTCTCATGGATTCAGATATGTTGGAAAGGAAGGAGGAGGAGGAGGAGAAAAATGACAGATCCTCTGTTTTTTTGTCAGGATTGGGGCATTTAAAATGTGATCATCTCTTCTGAATGTCATTATTTGATAGCATTTTATTTATATTACTTCAACATCATTGGATACATTTGAACTCCATGGGATTTTAACCGTGGATTCAGCTTCTGTTGGACAACTAGCTTCATCTCCAGTTCTTCTGCTGGTTCAGTCTAAGTGGTCATTCCTAATGCATTAGATTACCCACAAGTGTAAATTCTGTGAGTGAGTGGTGTTGGCAGTGTTTGTGTACCAAGATGCATGGAATGTTTGACAAAGAAACCAAAACACCAAAAATGGAGAGCCTTTACCCTCCTCTATTTCTTTAATCTGCTGTTTGAAGAACCGCATTTTGATGGTGTAACCAGTAGTTACCTCTGGGCCAGGTTGGAAATGAAATCAATTTTTTAAACCACTAATACTTGCCAAGAAATCGCCTTATGAGAACATGGTGTGTGTCTCTGACAATGCATGGCACATCTAAATTGATCATTCATAATTTTATCTGCCCTGTTTTTGTACTGGGGAATGACAAAAGCCTGAGGCACCTGCACATTTCTATCCGTGTGTTCCCACGCCCCCGTGGCTGGGATGTGGCCGAGCCTCAGGCTCTTACCGTTCCCGTACAGTACACGCAGGTCTCCATGAAGAAGCTGGGGTTCATTTACACTTCAAGATCTAAATGCTGTGCAAACTGTGTAAGCTTAGATCTTCTGTAAATGACGGGTCATTTCTCATTTTTTCTGAATGTCTCCAACATGGATTCCAAAGCATTTTCAGCATCAAACATGAAAACATTGATGAATGAGGAATTATCACAAAAGCCGTGTATCTGTATATAGCTCTACACAACATGTTTGTGAGTACAGAGTCATTATTCAAAGCACATGCCAGGGAAAGAGACCAAATTTTGAGGTCTTTTACATACAGTGACATGGTACTAAGGGGAACTAAACTCCTACTGCTTCCTCTGGAGATTAAAAAAAAATTAAAAGTTGTTAGAACTTCATAGAACTCATGACCAAGTCTGGCAAACATGTGCAACTCTTGTATTGATCCATTTTCTTGTCAATGGAAGAAACTCTTCCATGTGTATGCAAGTGGGAGATGAAAATCTGCATTTTTAAAAGACAAACCGTGAATTTAAGCATGAGTGGCCTTAATAAAATAGTTGTCTTTCTTTGCTGCTGTGGAAAGGATTCTAAACAGATGTTCCCGAAGTCTTGCATTGAATTTAGTCATTGTTACTTTTTAAAGTGTTGGTGCAGTTAACTCTGGACCTCTCCCATGGAGCCATAGCGATATTTAAGACAGTCACCTTGTTTGTGGGGGAAGATGAAGCTGTGTCTGAGTTGCACTGTCCATCCTTGGTGCATTAGGAGTAATATATTCAAGCAGGTTTCTCGCTTCTGGCTTTGTTCTTGTCGTCAGTAAGTATAGCGAACTATGTAAAGCTTATGTGTTGCATAAACAATCCAAATACATTCATGTTTAAAATTTTGTCCTTTACCTATTAGAGGATCTAGACCTTGATTGGAGAAATGAGCAGAGTTCTTTGCAAGCGTATTTAGCACATTTTGACATAATGTCGCACTGAAAACCCAGGCCACAAACACATCCCCGTGAACAGTTTGGGTGTCCTCAAATAGGCAGTCCTCACTGCCTCCTACAGCCAGGTCCTCATCTGAACTCTGCAACTGAATACTTGAAGTAGGAAGTCAGAAATCCTCGAAACAGAAAAAGCAACCAACTGTGTATAGTTAGCTCCTTCTAAGTATGTGCCAATTGTGTCACAGCTATTGTTTTGGGGGTCATTTTTTGGCCCCACTTTTGTTGGTTTAAAGTATTATTGATCTTTCCTTTATGGGAGCATATCATTTAGTCCTTTAAAAATTAAATTCTATCTAACATAGCATCTTTTCCCATTTCATGAAATAGTCTCTGATATTGGGGTTACCAAAAAAAAATTCCCTTTTTGTGTATGAAAAATAGTCTCTGGGTTTACAACAAACACTGTGATGTTGGGAAGATTATTTCCTTTGCGCAAACTTTCGCAGGTTCCCCTCTAATCATAATGAAGTTGAAAAAAAAAAAAAAGTTGAGGCTAACCTTTAGGAGAAGTTGGTCTTCTTGCTTTGTGCAAAAGCAGGCTTGTACTTTATACCCTGTTTGATTTCGATGTACAGTCTCGATTTTGTATTTAATGATTTTTGTGTATCCAGTATGCACGTTAACAGCGTGTCAACTTTCATTTGAAAGTGGGTTTCAATTTACTTTTTAAACAGTGTTTATGACGAGACCTCAAATGTGTTGACATAAGCTCTATCTGAGATGTTTTTGTGCCGAGTGGCGTTCGAATGCTGCCAGGGGTCAGTGTATCTAATTCTCAGAGACCCTCATTTGATAGTGCTTCTTGTAACTTTTCTTCAAGTGAGTGGCATGTGGGTTGTGATATTGACCATGTGATTATGGACTTCGATATGAAAAAAATAAATAAAACTAAGGAACCCTCAGAAACTACCAGTGGGCATGTATTAGCCAGTCATTGTAACCTCGTGTCTAGTAGAAGTACAATGTACAAGGTATGTACAGTTCATAAATTTGTTATCATGTGTATGAGAAGTACGTTGTGCTGATCGCCTTATTTATATTCATCAAATAAACTTTGTTTCTTTCTGAAGTGAGTTCATTCCATCTCTAAGAAATGTTCCAATTGTGGTAGTTTCTAATCTTTTTTGGGTCATGGATCCCCATTTGAAGAACCTATGGACTTGAAGAAAATAGAAAAGGGAAGTTATGGACTCGCTGTACCGGAAAAGCCAAGGTGTAAATTTCCCTTCACACATAGCTGGATCTCGAGGTTTGTATGAAGAAATTAAGTCATTGGTGGTGTCTCCTTTCTTCCTTCTCTCACTCTTTCCCTTCCCTTTTAGCCTTTTTCTCTCCCTTTATCCCTCTCTCTCTTCCGCCTTCCCACCTTTTCTCTCCGCCCCCCCCCCCCCCCCCCCCCCCCCCCCCCCCCCCCCCCCCCCCTACACCTTCCTTGGAGCCGATGTCAGTCTCTATTAGGTTCCCTCCACTTAGCAGCAAGGATGACTCACAATAGCTTTGAGGATTCTTGGATTTTAGAGAGAGACTCCCTGTCTCCCAGCATCCATATCAGCCCCTTAAGGGAGTCTCATTGGTCCTTTTTGGATCATGCATCCAATTGTATTTTTCAAGGGAGTTGGGAGGGTGAAGCCATGTGATTGACAGCCTCACTGGATATAGGAGGAGCAGTTTCCAAAGGGAGAAACTGACTCTGTTCCAGAAGAGAGAGACAAGAAAGCTGGGCAGGCAGAAATGATAGCTAGCCCTGCCATCGCATGGACACATGCACAAAATCATCCAGAAAAATGCACACACAAATTTGTTCACTCCGGCTTTCACTGCCCACCTGTGGATCACAGCATAGAACCAGCTCCTGGTTTCTTTAAAGCTTTGAATTATATTCCAGGAAATGAATTACCAATTCTTACCATTATTGCAATTAAAGAGTAATTGATTATCAGAGCTAGAAAGTATGTTAGATGTCGTGTAATCCAATAGCCTCATTTTAAAGATGGGGAAACTGAGGCCCAGTCAGAAGTGACTGATCCAAGGATACATGGTAAGTTCATTGCGGTCCAAGACTGTCCCCAGAGCTCCTGAAACAGGAATGTGAGTCCCTGAAGACTCTCCAGGGAGAAGAGGATGGGACAAAATCTCCGCCTAGCTGGCCCTGGATGACACAGGGGAACTATCATTTGGTTTCTGTACATTATGGACTCAGAGCCACAGGGCATGAAATTCTCTCACAGTCAGACACATTTTTTTTTTTTTTTAAAGATTTTATTTTATTTTTTCCTTTTTCTCCCCAAAGCTCCCCGGTACATAGTTGTGTATTCTCCGTTGTGGGTTCATTCCAGCTGTGGCATGTGGGACGCCGCCCCAGCGCGGTCTGACGAGCAGTGCCATGTCCGCGCCCAGGACCCGAACCAACGAAACACTGGGCCGCCTGCAGCAGAGTGCGCGAACTCAACCACTCGGCCACGGGGCCAGCCCCACAGTCAGACACATTTTTAGGCGACCTGCAAAGTCGTTTGCCCTTTTCATTATGTTGCCTTTTTGTAGAAAAAGAACTTTTGTTGAACAAGAATTTCGTACCTCATAGAACTTCCTGAAGCAGCCGGCTTGCATTGAGGCCTGTTTATGTAAACGCAGCTGGCCAGATGGAGCCTCTGCTCCTTTCCCCACAAACCAATCCTTCTGGTAAGAAAGGTGCCCGTCCACACACGGCTGGACTCAACTGCAAGTCAACCCGTACCTTGAGTTCCATTGAAGCCCTTAGACTTAATATTGGTGCTCCTGAGGTTTTGACCTTAAAAATCTGCCTTGAGAGCTTCCAGTATCTGTGAACCTCTGTTACAAAAGACCGGAGAACTGTTCTAATTCTTGGAATGGCTAATCCATAATAATAATCATACTAATAATAAGTAAGCAAAGGTAAAATAATCGAAAGTATTGAGCATTTACTAGGAGCCAGGCCATGTGCTAGGGACTGATGTGCATCCGCTCGTTTCTTCCCGATCACAGTGCCCTGGGGTAGGTGCTGTCATGGTCCACCACTTCACAGTGAGGGAAATGGAGGCCCATGGAGATGACCAGCGACAGTGTGCACTAAATGCTGTGCTTATGTGAAGCCATTTATACTCACAGTAACCGCACGAAGCAGGTACTGTTATTATCCTCACTTCACAGACAAGGAAAAAGAGGCCCTGGGAGCTTACATACCTCATCCAGGTCCCCCAGATGGTACATGGAGGAGCCAGGCTTTGAACCCAGTGCTAGCAAGCTCCTCCGCTTCGGGGATGCCGCAGGCCCCAGGTCGGATGGGTGGGACGTGTGGGGCTGAGATTCAGATCCCGCTCACACCCAGCCAGCAGTGCTTCCGTGTTGTGAGTTTGGTCTTGAACATGGCCATACAGCTCACAAGAGCTGCAAGGAATCGGGTGCTCCATCAGTGCCACAGCTGACCCATGTTATGAGAGAATGGCAGTGGATCCCAGTGGAAATCAAGCCACATGTGGAAAGAGAGCCCAGACAAAGCTGAAAACATTGGCTTTTTTAAACCTGCTATCTATGGTAGTCTCTTGTTTCCTCTAAGGCCTCAGTGTCTGGACATCTGTACCTCTTAGCTCCTACGTATCCTGGGGTTTGCAGGGTGGAGCATCTGGTGACAGGAGACTGGTCAGCTGTCCCCAGATGCAAGAGGGCCTTGAGTGCCATGCTAAGGGCTTAGACCTAATGCTGTTGGCCACTGGGTCTCAACTTCAGTAATCTGATTACTGCTCTCCTGATTCTTGCTATCTGAAGACAATACAGAATCTTAGTTAACTAATTTAAAAAAATTAAATGGGTTCACTTTTTTTATTTTTGAGGAAGATTAGCCCTGAGCTAACATCTGCCACCAATCCTCCTCTTTTTTTTTAAAGATTGGCACCTGAGCTAACAACTGTTGCAAATCTTTTTTTTTTTTCTACTTCAGCTCCCCAAATCCCCCCAGTACATAGTTGTATATCTTAGTTTCAGGTCCTTCTAGTCGTGGCATGTGGGACACCATCTCAACGTGGCCCGACGAGTGGTGCCATGTCCAGGCCCAGGATCCGAACCAGTAAAACCCTGGGCCGCCACGTTGGAGCGGGCGAATTTAACCACTTGGCCACGGGGCCAGCCCACCAATCCTCCTCTTTTTGCTGACGAAGACTGGCCCTGAGCTAACATCTGTGCCCATCTCCCTCTACTTTATATGTGGGACGCCTGCCACAGCATGGCTTGACAAGCGGTACGTAAGTCCGCACCAAGGATCCAAACCAGTGAACCCCAGGCCGCCAAAGTGGAGCATGTGAACTTAACCGCTGCACCACCGGGCCAGCCCCAGGTTCACTTTTTTATTTAAATAAATTTAAGAAAAAATGCCACTCTCATAAGTGAGACAGTAGGATCATTTGCCATACATAGACACCACCAAATATAAGAACAATAAAAATCATGAAAACAAAGTTCTGAACCTGAAGATAGCTCTTTCTTTGTTAAAAAAGGAGACCAGCAAAGGTTAGAGAAATGTTTCTAGGGCTAAACAGAGAGAGTTTCTCTTCGTTGCTGAATCAGAAGGATTGAAAAATGATGAATGAAGGAATATTTAACCATGTGGCTCAGGGTTATTTAAGACTGTGTCCGTGGACCACCTATAATCGTTTCAAGGACCCACTTTGATCTCTAGACTTTAGGAAACTAAACTGCAGCAACAGAAATACAGTGATGGAATTTTAAATAATCTTTATTTTTAATAGGCCGTATTTTTTAGAGCAGTCTTAAATTTATGGAAAAGTTGAGCAGATAGTACAGAGTTCCCCTATAACCTCCCTTCCCCCACTCGTACAGATTCCTCTATTATTAAGACCTTACATTAGTATGATATAGTTGTCACCAATTGAACCAACACTGTTTTTAACTAAAGTCTATACTTCATTCAGATTTCCTAGTTTTTACCTGATGTCCGTTTTCTGTTCCAGGAAAAAATAATGTCCTTGTTCCGTTCTCCTCCAGGACACCACATTGCGTTTCGTTGTCCTGTCTCCTTAGGCTGTGAGTTTCTCACACTCTCCTTGTTTCCGATGACCTTGACAGTTTTGAGGAGGACGGGCCAGGTATAGTGTAGGTTGCCCCTGTACTGGGATTTGTCTGATCTTTCTCTAATGGTTAGACGGGGGATCTGGGTTATGGGAGGAAGACCACGGAAGTAAAGTGCCATTCTCATCACATCATACAAGGGTACATCAACACGGTTTTTTGCTATGATGTTGACCTTGATTTCCTGGCTGAGGTAGTGTTGGTCAGGCTTCTCCACTCCTCACTTTGTGATAGATCTTTCAAGTGTGGAGATGAATGATCAGATCTCTGTCTTAAATAGGATCTCCTGCTGGAGGCATGGAGGATGCACTGGCTAGAGAAGAAAAAATTTTGAAAGTTTTTTGGACCAAAATTGCTTGAATCAACAGCTTCGTTGTTCAGACCACTTTTCCTCCCATTTGCAAATACCTCTGCCCTGTCCAGTCCTGCCTTCCCCTGTTGGAATACGCGAGCATCTATGGTAGAAATGATCAGTCTGGGTGGAGTAGATCCTTTCCCAAGTGCAGGGCAAAGGCAGCATTTCTATAGTCTAAAAACAGATGTCTGTGCCAACATTGTGACTTCACTTAGGGAGGCCTCAGGAGAGAAACTTTGCATAAATTCAAGACAAAACTTCCATGTCTGCATACCTGCAACTCACTGGATAAGGACGTTATGGTTGTTTGAATTTGAGAGGAGAAATATGAGGATATTTTTGGATAAGTGTATCTGTTAGGATTTTTTTTTTCTTTTACAGGCATTCCCCTCACCCCAAGAAGAAAAGAACAAAAATTAACACAAGATAACTTAAGCAAAAATAAATATATATGGACACATACACATATGTTGTTTCATGCAATAAACAGCTAGGACGTCATGGGTTTCAGGTGTGGCTTGTCCCAGGGGTTAAAATGACTTCTCACTTTCCATTTTTTGGTTTTGCTTCCTTCATGTTAATCCATTTTTGAGCATTCTCAAGGTTGCACACGA